CCAAACAATTAAACTAGATAAGTCTTTAACTGGTTACCTAGTCAAGAAGATAAAATTGTATAAACATAAAGTTTTACTATAAACTGAACTAGTCACATGCACAATTCGTAATTCGTCGACATGAGTTATTTATTTCTAATTTTTTTTATAATTATTCAAGTCATCAAATTTACTATCGAAGTGAACGACCAAAGCTTCCTAGCTACATGGCTTCATGTTGAACATCAGAACGTAGTTTGATTATCAAGCAACACATATCAACCATGCATGACTTCCACGTCACCACAACCTTACCACGACGTGTTACACCAAGAGTTACTGAGAAATCTTTCGCTTGCAATCCGATCCAAAGTCTATCAAATTCCAATAAATTATCATAAGCTATAATTTTCTTATTTTTCATATCCATCTTTCAGCTATATCAAAAACAGACATGGCTAACGACGTGACCAAAGATCCATCACCCAAATCTGGTAAGAAAAAAATAGTTTAAGAACCATAATGCCAAAACTAAAAAATTCTTCACCGACTAATGAATTCTGATTTTTTTTAATACTTACTTTAATTCTATTTTTCTTCCTTTGTTTCATAAATTACATCAAAGATATTGTCGAGGATATTTACTTATGGAGGAGGAAGAAACTGGCCTTCTCTATACTCGCGGTCTCAACATCGACATGGATTTTACTCAACTTTTATGCTTTCACTACCATAACCATTATATCGTGGATCGGCATCGCCGTTGTCTCTATGGTTTTCCTCTGGGGGAATTTACTTCGCCTTCTCAGCAAGTAATTAATTTTCCATTTCAAACTATTTGAAGATCTCATGCAAATAATGTATTTAAGATAAATTTGTTATCCTAAAAGATTCTTAAAAAAACTTGGAGCCCCAATAATATACATAAAGAAATTCTTATGTTAAAAATAATTTCTGAATCGGATAGGTTTGATTTCACACGCACTAGTTGTTCATGTTATAAATAAGTCCTGTTTTTAACGGAACAGTGTTTAAAGATGGTCTATATCTAAAATGGTTTTCTTTTCTGTTGATTAATTTTCGGACAGAGTCGAACCGGAACTATCAGGGTTAGAAGTGTCGGAGGAGTTTGTAGTGGAGACAGTGAGGTCTTGTCGGATGCTAATGGAAGAAATGGTTAGATGGATGTTTCGAGTTGGTGCTGAGAGTGAATGGTTTGTTTTCGCGAGAACCGTTTTGGGTTTCTGGGTCTTGTCAAGAATTGGGAACCTTCTTGATTTCCATACTTGTCTCTTCATCGGTACGTAACTAATTTAGTCGTAGACAACTAATCTAATAATACTGATTAATCAACTATTATATTGATTCGTTAGTTTAATTCATCTAGTATATGAATTAACGGTTAATGATAGTGATAATCTTTTCAAAATGGTCACACTTTTTTTTTTCAAAATGTTATATACGATCAATCATGCATAGTAGTCCAAACTTTATCAAAATATCATACTGTATAATTCTAAAATCTAAAAAGAGTTCATTAAGACAACACTAAACTAGGTTTTTGTCAAGATGGTATCAAATAGATGTGATTCATGTTTTTTGATTATCTGATCTAGTACAGGTTTGGTGATGGCCTTGACAGTTCCAAAATTGTGGGAGAAGTACGGAGATCAAATACAGAAGCAATTGGGTAGTCTTAAAGATAAATCGAAGGGAGCGTATAATACAACTCATGAGAAGATTTTACTGATGAAGAACAAGTTACAACATGGTACAGAGGATAAAGTGAAAAAATCAGAGTAGATTTTACCTGTCTTTCTAATGTAAAATATGTGTGCGCTACAACATGTGTAGATACGAAAACAAAATTTAGTCGATTTTAACTGTCTTTTGCTGTTTCCACTGAAAAAAAAAAAAAAAAAAAAAAAAATGAGACACGGAAAATTGCAAAAAAGTGTAAAAATACAAAACATTTTGGAAGCCGCTCTATCAGAGCCAGGTTTCGATCCTGGGACCTGTGGGTTATGGGCCCACCACGCTTCCGCTGCGCCACTCTGATTTGTTGCTACGAAATATACCCAAACATTATTTATACAAAAGAAACTGTTATTCTTGGTTTCACTCTTATAAACCCTATTTTTACTATTCGCTTTCATTCTTAACTTCACAAAACCGTTTCTTTCGATTCGATGATTTATAAACGTTTTCGAGAGACAGAATTATAAGTGGTGGAAGAAATTGGAAAATTTGATGAGGGTGGAAGGACAAAAGATAAAGAAGACATGCATGGATAATCTCTCTGCTCAGCTAATGGATCGCCAGTTCAATCGGTAATTCATTCATTAACTCTTTTGATCTTAACATTGTTGGAAACTGAAATATTTTGGAACAAGAAGAATAATTAACAAGTAGAAGTTTGCTCGTGGCCAGAGCCGTTCCTAGGAGTAATTGAGAGAACAGAAGCGAAATAAAAAATTTCTTCAAATCATATAAAACAAAACTTAAAAATGAAAATAACCACTACAATTCCAATTAAAAAAAACTTAGCATAAAAATAAAAAAAAAAACTAATTCTAAAATGCAATTTTTCTTCCTTTCGCCATTACAAAATCATTAACCAAGCTTTCAAAATTAACATCTTTAACCATCAACTTTCAAGTCAAAAGCAGCCAACACATCTTGTAGCTCACCAAAAAGTCCTTCGCCAGATGTATCATCAACTTTCAAGAATGTTAAGAAAAATTCTTCGATCTTAGTTGAAGCAGCTGAAACATCTACACACCGGATGACAACAGTCATTTGTTTATGATGGCTAATATCTGGAGTGCAATCAAGAATAACAGAATAGTACTTTGCACCTTGAATTTTCTTGATAATCCTAGCCTTGATATCATTAGCTAACAAAGCTATCAACTCATTCTGAATTGTGTTGCTGAGATAATTGAAACGAGTTGCACCTGTTTTAAATCTTCTAAGATGCTCTATCATTATAGGATCAAAATCAGCAAGCATCTCGATAAAACTTAAGAAATTCCCATTACCATCTTCTCCAATCTTTCCACTACTTCCACGAAACGCTAAATTTTGTCTGGCTAGAGTCTTTACCACAGAAATTATCCTAAGCAACACCTGTCTCCAGTGAATTCTATCTTTATTCAGTTCATCTTGAGCATATTTATCAATAGTCTGATTTTTCTACAGTCTGAGTTCTAATTCAGTCCACTGATTCATGCATACAATGTGTTCCCGACCAGATTCATGCTCTCTAAGCCTTTTCAAAACATTTCTATAATCACTGAATCCTATAGATGCCAATTGACCATTATCACGTTTATTGAACAACTTACAACAAAAGCAGAAGATCTTGTTCAATGATTTTGAGTAAACTAGCCAACGTCGATCTTGTTTACTCCCATCACCCATCTCTCTTGTGTAATAGAAATGTGAGAAATGCCTCTTAACACCATCCCTTGGAAACTTATAATCAACCGGCAGTCTTTTTGTTGGACCTTGTACAACCATAAAATCTCTCCATTCATTCCAACCTTTTTTTATGGTTGTCCAGTTTCCAGGATCATACATATCTACAAATCCATCATGCTCTTTGAGATCATCTTTTTCACATTCATTCTTATTTCCATCTTCTTTTTCACTCAAATCCTCTTCATTCACTGCATTTATATTCTCTCAAGAACTGTTTCTTCTTTGTTGTACCCACTCATATTCTCCGGTTCAGGAATTTCTTCTTCTCTCTGAAAGCCACTCATATTTTCATCCCCTCCATCATCTTTTGAATGTTTTTTATCACTATTTTCTGCAGATTTTTCAAAAGTTTCAGGTTTTTTGAAATACCTGAATAAATCATTCTCTTGAGATTTCACTAGTTCTTCATATTTTTTTCTCTTTTTCCTTTTATCTTCTCCACAAGGTTCCTTTCTTATGTTTTTCGGCGGCATCTCTCTGAAATTTACAAAACTACGGTTATAACAATTGTTTCTAAAATAGATAACTTAATTTGGATGATTATAGTCTATAAAATATACTAATAAAGTAATAGATTGTTAATGTCGACAAGACAAAAACGAACACATATGGCACTTTGACTGATCTTACTTTTAATCCAATTCTCTAAATCGAAACAAAAATCTAAATATTAGATGAAACAAGTCAACAACATTATTATAAACAAAGTACTTACCAATTGATTAAGAAAACCAGAGTGTCATCGATTGAAATTGTAAATCAAGTAGTCAACAATGATTAAGAAACTACTCTAAAAAGCCAGAGAATAAAAAAATCTCAAGAGGTTATTGGCAAAAGTGAAAAACGGCTGGGTGTATATTATTCTTTACTACCCTAATTTTTTTATTCAACTTTTAACTAATTAAAACAAAATACGTTTTACCTAGAATCACCACATCATTTAATATTGGGCCTAAGAAACTAATAGCCTTTGATTTTTTTTTTCAAAAAAAGGCCGCAGGCCAATGTTTCTTTTACGTTGCCTGGCCTGCTCGTGGCAACTAGGATGGGACTCCAGTTCCTTGGAGTTGTGAAAATCACGCATATTTCTGAGTTTGGTTTCTCAGAATTAGTGTTTCTTCTTTCGTTTCCGCTCTAGACATACGTTATCTTCTTTTGTTGTTTTGTTATTGTCTGTTTTCTGTAGAATTTTTTTTTTTTTTTTGCTTCTTTGTAATTTCTAATGGAAAAATGGTATAAATACTTCACATTTTACCAAAAAAAATAAATAATTAACAAGTATAAGAAGAAGAGTAAAATATGAGAGGCATTACTGTCATTACATATCCCTCATGACTACAAGTAAAGCCTCTATCACAATCAGGTTTCATGTTGAGATTGTATGATCACTTTCTTGCTTGGCTTCATATATACATAATCCATTATCTGAAAAAGCTGGACAGCTCGAAATCCGAGTCATCCGCGGATCAAATTCTATGTCGATGTTGAGAAGGGATGCATATTCAGAATGCTGAATTTGTAGATGCAAAAAGTGAGAAATGAATAATGCCATTTGATTAAAAAAGAAATTAGATCCTCAAGAGTAAGTACGTAAACTATCCAAGAAAACGAAAATGTATGTTGTCTTCTTATTGCATTTAGGTCTTAATAACTAGCTTCCTTGCTCTCAGACTTCCTCCATTTAACCGGTGGCTCAAGCTCTTCCTCCTCTTCTTCATGGATATTCTCTTGTCCCATTGGTTGCACTAGAAACTGCCCATCCTCTGTTTGCTCTTGACCTTCTTGTAATGGAGGCTGAAGCATAAGCTGTGTCTGAAGCTGATCATGGTTGATATGACCATGTTCTGTCTCTTGACCCATTTGAAAAGCATCACCAAAGCTTCCTAAAGCAAGAGATGGTCCAGACAACGACCCACTAGCACCGTGATCATTCACATCCATTTGGTTAAAACCCGTGGCCGTAACCGAACCATTGTTGTCTATTCCGTAACCATTGAACATCCCTTGTTGATCTCCTCTATCTAACATCATTGCAGCCATTCTCTGTGCATCAGAAGCTATGAATTGCAACTGCTCGTCTTGTGGTTGATGTTGATGATGTTGTTGAGACATGTTTGGTTCACGTATCATCAACGGTTCTCCTTGAGGGATCACTCCAGGTGGCATTCCTTCCATAGACATCATGAAATTTGGTGGAGGATTGTTACCAAGAGCAGGAAGATAAGGCGGCGGAATCACAGCATCGGGTCCCATGTAACCGGCAAGCTCTTCTTTAGCAGCGACAAGATCTTGTTGGATTTTCTTGAGGTATTGTTGTAAAAAAGAGATGAGACCAACACATCCATAGATTGGGTCACGGATACGCGCCTCGGCTTCATAGAAGAGGGAATTAACAGTGTCTTCGCGTTGATCAGGTGGGAGATCGTTAAGGATCTTGGTTACATTGCTTGCTCCAAAGACTCGGTGAACAAAGATAAACTTTTGAGGATTTGTTGGTGGAAAATACGGCGCAAACACACATTCTTGAGTGCATTTACGCCTCAAGAGCTTGCATGCTGCACAAGGTGTTGAAGCCATTCTCTTTCAAGACAACACTATTAAAAAAAAATGGAATTAAGACATAGAGAACAAGAAAAAGGATATGTAAAATATATCTTGAAGCACAAGAAACACACAATCATATACGTTTTAGCTTTAAACACAAGAAACCAAGAACAAGGCAAATGGCCATTTAGATCATCCTTTGAATCAACCAGATTATACCAACTTTCTCAACAACAAAAAAGAAACATAATGAACATTTAATTATTTTGATGAGAAAAAAGAAAACATAATTAGGAAATTATATCAGTTTTGAGCCAAATCAATCTATACATATGAGAGAATTAAGAAATGTTCAAATTAAATTAAAAATCAAGAAATCGCACCCGATGGTTCGAGAACACCAATCCTGTTCTCATATGACCTTGGATGATGATACCTGAAATTACATTACTATTTAGAAAAATCCAACCAAAAAAATTGAAATCAAAATTAAAGATAACCTAAAATAATATAGAAGTACTGGATTTTTGGGAGAGAGTGAGAGAAAATGAAGGAGAAAAAATGACAGAGATTTGCCAAGTACAGTGCCTGAGGAATCGTGAAGATTGATTACAAAACTTAGGAACAAATGACGGAGATGTTTCTGAGAAAATTTTAAGGAGACACAAAAAATGAGATTTAGAAACCTTAAACACATCAACAAAGAAGAGAGAGATAGAGAGACATCGTGTTACAAAGTTAGACACGTGTGGTCAAATTTAAATCTTAACCGCTCATGCATTTTTTTTTTTTTTTCTTGTGATTGATAAAAAAAATTGAAGTGTTATTTGATAAGTCAGCTCTGATATTTTAATTTGCATAATTAGTAGAAGACTAATTCAATCTTGAGAGGAGAAGAAAATCAAATTCATTTGCATTGGAGTAAAAGTTAGTTATTTTTAGATATTGCTTTTCTGTTTTTAACTGATTACTCTTGAAAGTCTTGAATTTAACTTTCAAATTTAGAATATAAAAAATAATATACTACATTCTTTAGCATTTTACATTAACTGTTCAAATAAATAGTGAGAAACTAGATTATGACCCGTACTACCGCATACGTTGAATTTTATTTAATACAAAATTTATAGATAATATATTTTAGAATAAAGTTTTGATATATTATAGGAGTAAGTGAAAAATAAGAAAATATTTGTCAATTCCTATATATAATATTAGAATGAATATATTTTATTTTTTATATAATACTCAATTATGGATAATTTTTCTTAAGATCTGAAAATCGAAGGTTTAATTATTTTAAAAACAATTAATATTGTTTGAACAATGAGTTAATTTATGTTAACAACAGCAAAATGAGATTGCATATAATTCAGTTAGATCAAAAATCGAAATATCATAAATGATTCGCATCTAAAACGTAGATTATTTTGAGTTAGTTAAGGAAATTAGCTATTATTTTAAATTAATTTATGGGATTCCTTTTTCAATTTTTAATTCATTGGTTATTGAAATAAATATTTGTTTGAGGTAATTACAGAATTTAACAATTATTCGCATAACCTAATTAAATCCGTGCGTGGAGTCTATATTTTTATTTTAGAATCTCAATAAAAATATTGCCAGCAAAATCTATCATTCATTTTCCAAAATTGCTTGCAGAATCAAATTTTTCAATATTAAGATGTGTCAAATCTTACTTAATATATCTCATCATATAATCTTAACATACCGTCTGTTATTAGGATCATAACTCTTTCTATCATACTAGATTTTAACCCGCGGTACACCGCGGGATGATTTATTTTTAAAGTTAGTATAAAATATTGTGTAAATTGTATCTCCTATAAAATATTTATTTATATTATAGTTTACAATTGTTATTAAGTAACAGTATACCACGAGTTCACGAGACAATTGTTAATAAACTGAGGATTTAACACGTATTAAAGCGGCATGTTAATGATATTTATAAATATTGATTCAAATTCGTCAGCCATATAAATATGTTCCGAAATATAACCCGTTCCGTAATTTCTTAACCCGTCCTGTGATTTGTTTTAATTTTAAAATTTAATGATTATTTATTATATATAAAAGTTTACAAATCATATTATTCTCTAAGACATTTATATTTTAATAAACTGAAGATTTTATCTGTATTAAAGCGGCATGTTAATGATATTTTAAAATTTTATAAATATTGATTCAAACTCGTCCACCATATAACTTCGTTCCGAAATATAACTCGTCCTGTAACTTCTTAACCCGTCTCATAATTTATTTTCTAAAATTAGTAATTTTTAAAATTTAACGATTATTTATTATATATAAAAGTTTGCAAATTGTATCATTTTCTAAGATATTTATATTTTATAGTTTACAATTGTTAGTAAGTAACATTATACCACAGGACAATTTTTGGTTTTATACAATCTTTTCTAAATGAGACTGATTTAATATGTCTAATATTGGTTGTATTAAAAAAAATTAAGGATTTAATCCGTATTGAAGCGGCGGATTAATGATATTTTAATCTTTTTATTATTGTTGATTCAAAAACCCGTCCCGCCAAACAACTCATTTATTTTATTAATGTTGATCTTATTTATGATATGATTCTGAATCATTATCTAAATATTTTAATCGATGTAGAACGTTGAACACACATTTTCGTCAATTGGATAATATATGTCTGTTTTAAGTCCGGTGTATGAGTTGGGTTAAATATAATCCGACCCAACAAACTTTGTAAACGGGTCGGGTATCCAAAATATCCGAGAACAATTTTATCCACCCGACTTAAAAGTGACTACAAAAATACTAGTATAGATAATACAATATATTTCACCTGCCGTCTGCTAGAATATTTTAAATATATATGTTTTAAGAAATAAAATTAGAGTATTTATAATTTTTATCTTTTTAATCTATTAAATATTTATGATATTATTTCAAAAATCATTTAAAAAAATATCAAACGAAAAAATCATAATGAATTGTAATAATTTTGAATTTTTTTAATAACAAATCAATATATATTTTACAAAAATTATGATAAAGAAAACCCTCACAAGCATATTTTAAGTATATTAATATTAGAAAAACAATAATTTGTAACTAAAAAACTATTCCCAAGTGCAAAAAACATAAACTAATAAACCAAATATTACAATGGTTTGATAAATAAGCCAAAACGTTCAACGTCAAATAAATCAAATGCTATTGTGTTAAATTAAACGGTAACAACAATTCATTTAAATATATTTTAGTATTTAAATATTTTTTAAAAATATGACGAACTTATCCGAGAAACGCAACCGTAGATATCAAATATTCCAAAAACTACAACGGTTCGTCAATTATACCAAATGTTGCAATAGTTCATCAAATATACTAAAGATAACAATGGTTCGTAACACAAAACCAAAAGTTGCAATAATTCGTCAAATAATCCAAATGTTGAAACAGTTCAATTAAATAGTTACAATCTCATTTAAATACATTTTAGTATTAAAAATTAAGAATTAAAATAATAATTTATGAAAAGTTACACCGAGAGACGTGGCGGTAGATAATTAAATGTTATAGCTATTTATAAAATAAACCAAAAATTGCAATTGTTCGTGAAATAAACTAAATATATAAACCAAATGTTGCAATTGTTCGTAAAATAAACTAAATATTGCAATGATTCGAATAAGCGGTTTCAACTGTTTATGAAGAGTTACAATAAAAAACGCAACCGTAGAAAACATTCAGAATGCAGTTTATAAAAAAAAAACATAACCGTAAAAGATATATTTTAATTAATAAAAACATTAACGAAAAGTTGCGATAAAAAGACGCAACCGTTCAGATGTGCAAATGGTATTTATTAGATTGCTATTATATATAGATTAAATTAAACTTCCCTTTTCCGACCAAAAAAAACATTAAATTAAACTAATTTTAAATGTTCCAAACTAAAATATTTAAAAAATTTATTGTAGTATATAAAATTATGAATTTTAAAAAAAAGAACTAAATAAAATATTTAAGTAGTTATGAGGATCATAACTCATTCCATCATATAATTCATTATATTTAACTGCCGCATATTATAAATATTTTAAATATATTTGTTTTAAGAAAATAAAATTAAAGTATTTATAATTTTTAACTTTTTCATCTATTAAGTATTAATGATATTCTTTAAAAATATCAAGTAAAATTATTTTTAAGGTTACAAATTAAAATATTTATTGTAGTATATAAAATTATATATTTCAAAAAAATGTATGATATTGAAATTTTTTTTTTGTCATCCTTAATTAAATAGAGCTCGGAAGAGTCATTCTTGGGGAATGTTGTTTACATAATTGACATAAAGCGGTTTTGTACAAATAGACGAACAAGATATCCACAAAAATTTAGCCGAAAAGAAAAAAACGAAGTCCCAACAAAACGGGAAAATTAGTTTAGATCAACTATAAGAAAACAAACAAAGAAACAAAAATCTAAAAGAGGATAAACACGAAGAAAAAATGAAACCTAAGCTCTATAACCGAACAAAGGAACGAGACCCTCACCAAATTTTTCCATAGAATATGTGAACACCGGAAGCACCAATAAAACCGAAAAGACCTCACACCGAAACCGAACCATGAGCAAAACATGCGGTTTTCTTTTAACTACACATATTTACTGGTAGAAAGTAGATACACCAGACGAGAGCTGGTATCTCAACCTAGTCTTCTGCGGATTTCATTTTTGTGAGTTATAGAAATCTGTGCATGTATTTCATCCTCTTTTTACCAAAAACAAAACATATTTTGATAAAATGCTTAAAACGGCACCGCTTTTTTATCCTTCATTCACAGCATAAAGGGGAAAAAACCCAAAAAAACCGCCATCTATTTTTTTTTTTGGCCGTTTAATACATGTGTTTTTAAATTTGGAATAAAAATACCTAATTTAATTTTGATTGCCTTTTAAAACTATCGTTTTTTAAAACTTGGTAATTTCGAACCCGAGAGTTAACAGTCGTTACTAGGCGTAACGGAACTATTTAACGGTGTTAAACGGCCAAAAAAAAAAATAGATGGCGGTTTTTTCGGGTTTTTTCCCCAACATAAAGCTATATACTACTTAGACCATAATTATCGGAAGATCATCTTAGGCCATCTGCAATGGCCCAACACCTTGGGTGTTCTTGGACTTTTTTAATTGGATAATATTGTGAGCAGTGGCCGAAGAACATGTTGTTGGGTCTTGAGGTAGAACTGATTTTGGGTTTGTTCTTGTGTGACGTGGCAGGCCGTGAATGGGTACGATTTTTAGCAAAGGAGTTGATTGAAAATATTTGGAATAAATTTGGACAATAACCTATGTATTAATTAAATAAAATGTTTCTGTGCTTTTATTAAGTAATATGTTTTTTTTTTTTTTATATCTTTAATATTTTTTTTTCATAAATATTTGGTATTGTATTTTCACTTTTATTTTAAGTTTGTAAATTTTGCAATTTAAATGTTATTTTTAAATGTTTTTATAATTGTAATATGTTTTATTATTATATTATTAAATCTTCTGATCTTAAACATGTTCTCCCAATAACCAACTTATTAACAAAAGATCTAAACTCCTGATCTTATATTATTTTAACAATATTTTTATACTAAGCACACTCAAAACAGTTTCCCCATTGCGGATGCCCTTAATGGTGTGCTTAGAATAAAAAAATAAAATAAGACCCAAACCCAAGAACAGGGCCAGGAACAGGTCTTGAGCAAGAACTAAACCCAAGAACTAAACGCACTATTCCCATTATTTCTTAATTTTAAATTACTAAGATGACACCAACTGTTTTGGCGTTGCATATGCCCTAAGAGCCACACAGTATAGCTATACACAATAAGACAAATAAAACTGAAAAAACTGAAGCAAAATAGACCACATAATTCTGATCTTTTTCATGTATAGTTTATGATATTACAAAACTTAATTAACACAAAAAATTAGACAACTTTTTCTTTAATTCCAACACAAAAGTACACATAGCATTAGATTTACCCTAAGATTTCTGGGCTTCTGGTCCTAAAATCCCATTCACCACTGACGTAGCGACAAGAACTCCGACGAACTCAGCCGCCACAACGGCTCCGGCTTGTGTCAATCCATTAAAGCTAACCGCCGTCACGATTTCCTTCTCCGCAGTCTCTACACCTCTCTCCGCCGCTTCTAATCCTCTCTCCGCCGCATCAACACCTTTCTCCGCCGTCTCAAAGCCTTCCTTCACGATCTCCACCGCTTCTTCTTCTGCCTTTTTCAGCTTCTTTCTTATACCAAAGAACGGAATATTCTCCGCCATTGATGCAGACTGAAGTCCTGTCATCACCGTCGCTGCCGTCAGGGAAAAGAGGAGATTCCTGCGAGATGCGCCGGTTAGTGAGAACGATGGAGGCGCGTTTTTGCTAGAATGCGCCGCTCGTGGGCTAACATGCGCATTTCTTGTGCAACGCGCTTGAAGAGCTCCACCACCGCCGCTGAGTAAAGAAAGCGAAACAGTGGAAGCCATTTTTTAGATGACACACGAAAAAAAGACGCTCAGATGTGAAATAGAAAATTCGAAATTTTTTTGATAATATACGACTACAAGATAACAAAATAATTTCATTGTCAAATGACGTGACACGTCATCTCCATTGAGATTCTTTGATAAAAATATGGGTAACAAAAAAGATTTTAATTAAAGAATAATGGAACATACTATATACGTCAAATCCACTTTCAGCCCCAAAACTCAACAAATTCGACAAAAAGACCCACGATTCCACTAAAAACCATCTCTCATAAGCAATCAGGCCCAGACAGAGCCTATGGACCATGTAAGATAACCAGGCCCATTTAGATTCAAATTACAAAAATTACCATAAATAATCATAACGGACAGACTAATGGAGAATTAAGGCAAGATTCGGGGAAGATGACATAGGAGAGGGAAGGACATCGTACTCAACAATCATTCAATAATATACCATAAATAATAGCATATGTAAATGTTTATGTGTTTCCATATCTCATACGTGCTTAGATTTTATCTTTGAACTTCTTTCGTCTTTGTATTTTGTTAAGTTTAGGTCCGTATATTCTCTCAAATCGGAGAGTAAGACATGTAATATGTTTTTTTCAGGAAAATATGAAATCACTATAAACTGATTATTAGGGATAATAATATCACACAATGGAAAAGACAAGAGATCTTGACTAGTATATAAGATATATATGGGTCAATCCATTCATAGCTAATTGGTTTTAAATTAGATATCCATATTCTAATATAGTATCTGAGTCCGATTTCATACGTGTTCAAATCTACAATCGGTCCGACCCAATAGATAGCTCGCCGATCTATGTCCGAGCATACCGAGATCAATGGTTAGAAGTGGCGTATTAGGGATAATAATATTTCATGTTCAAAAGGACAAAGGATCTTGACTAGTAAATAAGATATATGGGCCAATCCATTTATTGTCAATTGGTTTTGAGTTGAAATCTCATATTGTAATACTGATAACATAAGAGACTCCGAAAATTTTTTATCCTCCCTAAACATGAAATTTCCAAATTAATAAAGAATCTAGACGTTAAAAATAAAAATAAACCACTGGTAATTCGGTATACTTTGAGGATCTTCTCATATCGCATTGTAGTTTTCAAATTTTCATCTCAAGACTTTTTCAACTATGGATGGCTAATTAACAATAATGGGATTAATAAGATTAGCAGTCCAGTGACAATGACATAATCATATATACAAAAGGTCAACTTTGAATATTAAGAAAGTAGCCACAAAGACGAAGACTTCGGTTTTGGGTCTTCTTGTTCCGTTTTATAATTGAGTTCTTCTGCTCTGCTTCTGTTTTTTTTTTTTGTATTTTGTTTCTTTTAGTTTATATTGAAAAATGGAAAATATTGAGTATCTGAAGCTCCAAGCCACTGCAGGGAAGCTAATCCACAACTATGGAGTCCCAATTATGATCACGTTGTTCCTAAAATGGCTCGCATCCTTCGTTGCAGTGTCAGGCATCATGTTTAAAACATGTGAATTTATGTTTTAACTCTATTTTCTTTTTCTTTTTTTAATGTTTTTTACTTCTTTTTTTGTGGGTAAAGTTTTCTGATGATATTGGATCGAACGAAATGGAAGTATTCAAACAACATAAAGACTTCACTACTAGCTCCTTATCTCTTCTCTAGCCTTCCTGTCGTTATTTTCCAGTTCTTGAGGTAACAATCAATACACACAAATTAAGGTAACTTTTTTTGCTGTTGTTGTTCTTGTGCATGTAACAATGATCGGATTATATATTTGATTTGTATTCGCAGGACCGGGTTTGGGAAATGGATCGCTCTCCTCACGGTTGTTCTCAGGCTTTTTCTACCAAACCATTTTCATGGTATGCAATCTAATTATAACATCTTGAATATAATTAAATTACGTCATTAATAATATCTTCAAAGTTTATTCTCCCTGGGTTTCTTTATGTTTTAGGAGAAAATTTTGTTATAAAATAGATGATGTCTTCAACTTTCAATACAAAATTAATTAGTTTTTATTGGTTTTGACGATTTAAATTATGCATATTGTTTTACTATTGGTTGAATCGTGTTTAGGTAGATAATAAATGATGTTTTTTTTAGAAATAAACAAAAATTAAATGATTTCTAAATCAGTGTGCAAAAATCTTAAACATCAAATATAAGAAAAGGGAGAGTGTATTATATATAGTAATGCCAGAGAACAGTTTGGGATACAAATAATTGTAGGGGTGGACAAACCCGATTTAAGGTTTGGTTCAAGTCATTTTGTGTATTGCTTAACTATATGTTAATAACAAATTGCAGAATCGCTAGAGATCCCGGGTGCAACGATTCTTCTTATTGTGGTTACACCGAGTGACATAGGGGCAGTATTCAGAGACGACCTGAGATATACCGGAGGTTTTGGGTGCATTCTCACGAGCCTTTACCTTCTCAATAATCACACTAAAGCTTGTGGTGATATCAAAAACTCATTCACTCTAAAGGACAAAATCACTTACACCATTTGTCTTTGGATTCTCTTTATCTACCCTATTTTGTCCCCATTTGCTGCCCTCTTCTACTTATAAGAACCCAACGATCTTGCTGAATAAGGCGGCGAGACATATCTTGTGTATTGTTTTTGTTCGGTCGTGAATAAAATATCAAGTTATTTTATTTTTTATTAAAATTATTGTTTAAAAAAAAAAAAAAAAAAAAAATTATTGTTTAATTAGATTAAACTCGTGTGATACACAGGTTAACTGTCAAGTGCTTATTTTAAAAAATTAATTCTTTTAAAAAAAAATTTGTGTAAATATTATATTTAATTTGAGTTAATTTAACCATGAATCTTATTATAAGTTTGACTTTAATATATTTTAAAAGATTTACTTATGTTAAGATTTTTTACTTTAACAGTTAAAATTATACGAGTTAGTATTAAAAGTTTTCAGAATCTAAAATTCAAATTTTTAATATACTTTCATAACTTAATTAAAGAAAAGTTGAAATATATTTTGGAGGATAATGTAATAGCAAAAATATATTACTACTAATATCACACACAACTTATTTTAACATAAAATATCCATGATATTTAGTTACAATTTTGCTAAAATGGTTACCATGGTTTCAAAATTCTTTTAGATATCAAGCTTAGAATAATATAAATTAAAAATAATGAAATTATATTTTAATTAATATATGAGAAAGATTGAATTGAATACAACCACCACTATTTAATTTGTTTAATGTTATAACCCTTATCTTAATTTATCTAATCCATTTATCTTAAAATTGAATGTTTCTATATAAATCATAAGACAAGTTTTTTATTAGAGTTATATAATCGTAATATAAGTTACAACTTACAACAACAAATTAAATATCAAAACTAAAAAATGTAACAAAAGACAATACCAAAATAAACAAAATCATATATTTAAACTTAAAGTGAATAACAAAATTCACATTCTAACTTAAAATGTAACAAAATTAGAACAATGATTTTTTAGAATTTATTTGTATATTAACCACATCATTTCTTTGGCAAGACATGCAACCATTGATATCACTCCATGGGCAGAAAAAAAACCCAAACCAATAAAAAATTTATCACTCCATGTTGAAGACCAAATTTTATACCGAAATGCAGAAATTTCTGAAATTTATCACTTATTTTTACGATATTTAAATATCTTAGCATTTTGCAATGTAGTTTTGGAAATATCTTCTCAAGACTTTTCAACTACGGATGGCTTAAAAATAATTATAGCAGTCCGTGACAAATGACAATGACATAATCATATGCACAAGGTCATCTTTGAATATTAAGAAAGTAGCCACAAAGACGAAGACTTCAGTTTTGGGTCTTCTTTGTTAAAGTTTTGGGTCTTCTTGTTCCTTTTAATAACTTGAGTTCTGCTCTGCTTCTGTTTTTTTTTTTGTATTTTCGTTTCTTTTATTTTATATTGAAAAATGGAAAAGATTGAGTTTCTGAATGAGGGCCAAGCAGCTGCAGGGAAGCTAATCCACAGCTATGGAGTCCCAGTTATGGTCATGTTGTTCCTAAGATGGGTCTCGTCCTTCGTTGCAGTGTCAGTCATATCTTTCATGTTTAAAACATTTGGATTTATGTTTTAACTCTTTTTTTGTGGTTTGTGTTTATTACTTTAATTATTTTTGGGTAAAGTTTTCTGATGATATTGGATCAAACGAAATGGAAGTATTCAAACAACATAATGACTTCACTATTAGCTCCTTACCTCTTCTCTAGCCTTCCTATTGTTATTTTCCAGGTCTTGAGGTAACAAACAATACACACAAATTAAAGTAACCTTTAATTTGTTGTTGTTGTTGTTGAGCATGTAACGGATTGAATATTCGATAATGTGTGTTCGCAGGACCGGGTTTGGGAAATGGATCGCTCTGCTCACCGTTGTTCTCAGGCTTTTTTTACCAAACCATTTTCCTGGTACGCAATCTTATAACGTTGAGAACAATATTAATTACGACATTATTAATCTTCACATTAAGTTTATAATATATATATATACACATATAGTAAAGCAAGAGAACAGTTTGGGATATCCTATAAATAATCATTCGTTCAAACTGTAGGGGTGGACAATCCGGTATATATACGGTTTGGTTCGGGATTTGGTTTTTCGGTTTGACATAAAATGAACCATATAAAACCATTTGTACGTAATTCACTATGGTTTGATGTAGTTACCGTTCAGTTTTGTTTTAAAAGTAACTTTAAAATTTCAAGAAATAATAAGTTCTTTTAGAATTGTTTTAGAATTATTAATTTGATTTTATCTATTTTTGATAAATTTTTCAATTTAAAATGTTAAAGGTTTAATAAATTTTGGTTCCTTTACATTGGTTTGGTGGGTTTGGGTCAGTTATACAAAACGATGGTTTCAGTTCGGTTTCTGTTGTCCAGATCTTACAATAAACGATTTATAAACAGCTTGGTTCAGTTTCGGTTTGGTGTTTTCGCTAATGCTTTTTTTTCTCAACCCTAAGAATTGGTTCAAGTCTTTTTGTGTATTTTTTTAACTATAAGTTAAATAACTTTTTTTTTTTGTTAAAGAACTATAAGTTAAATAACAACTTGCAGAATCGCTAGATATCCCAAGTGCAACAATTCTTCTTATTGTGACTACACCAAATGAACTTGTGGAAGCATTCAGAGACGACCTGAGATATACCGGAGGTAGTGTGTGCCTTTTCACGAGCTTTTACCTTCTCGATAAACACACTAAAGCTTGTGGTGGTTTCAAAAAGTCATTCACTGAAAAGGAAAAAATCACTTACACCATTTGTCTTTTTATTCTCTCTGTCTAGTGTCTACCCTATTTTGTCCGCATTTGCTTTCCTCTTCTACTTATAAGAACCCAACGATCTTGCTGATATTGTGATTGGTGATCTTCAACTAGTCTTGTAAGGTAGCGAGACCGATCTTGTGTCTTGTTTTTGTTCTTGTTCGGTCGTGAATAAAATATCAAAATTTTTGAATTTTTTCTTAAGGTTATTGTTTAATTAAGACTCGCGTGATACACGTATTAACTGTCAAATGCTTATTTTACAAAAAAAAAATTTTTTTTGCAATTTTGTGTAAATATTATATTTACTTTCAGTTGAATTAACTATGAATCTTATTAGAACAATTCTTGGGTTCACCCTCTTAATTAACCAATTAAAATTTGCCATATCGTCTAATTAAATAAATTAAAACAATTAATATTATCTAAATAAATAAACAAATAAATTTACTAAAGAAAATTTTTTGGGTTCACCCAAAATTATATAACGGTTTGGGTTTATAAATTTGAATTAGGGTTTAGATTTTTACAATTAAACAAAATTATATGTCGGTTTGGGTTTATAAAAAAAGTGATTAGGGTTTAGATTTACAATTAAACAAAATTATCTGTTGGTTTGGGTTTACATATATGGATTAAGGTTTAGATTTTACAATTAAACAAAATTATATGTCGGTTTGGGTTTATAAAAGAATGATTAGGGTTTAGATTTTACAATTAAACAAAATTCTATGTCGATTTGGATTTATAGATGAGGTTTAGGGTTTAGATTTTACAATTAAACAAAACATTATGTCGGTTTGGGTTTATAAAAAAGTGGTTAGGGTTTAAATTTTACTATTATATGAAATTATATGTCGGTTTGGGTTTATAAAATAGTGGTTAGGGTTTAGATTTTATAATTACATGAAATTATATGTCGGTTTGGGTTTATAAAAGAAATGTTAGGGTTTAGATTTTATAATTAATTCAATTGAGAGGGTTTTAATGAATTGGTTTTTATAGATAATATTAATTGTTTTATTTATTTAATTAGATTATGTGGTAAATTTTGATTTTCATCTTATTATATGCTTGACTTTCATTTCTAATAAGAGTGTTTTACTTTAACAGTTATAATTATACGAGTTAGTATTAAAAGCTTTCAGAATCTAAAATTCAAATTTTTATTTAGTTTCATAAATTAATTAAAGAAAAGTTTAAATATATTTTGGAGGCTAATTTATTAACAAAAATATATTGCTACTAAGATCACATACAACTTATTTGATCATAAAATATCCATGAAATTTAGTTACAATTTTGCTAAAAGGATTACCATGGTTTCACAGTTCTTTTAGATATCAAGCTAAGAATAATACAAATTAAAAATAATGAAATTATATTTTAATTAATATATGAGAAAGATTGAACTTCAAGACAACCACCACTATTTAATTTGTTTAATGTTATAACCCTTATCTTAATTTATATAATCCATTTATCTTAAAATTGAATATTTCTATATAAATCATAATACAATTTTCTTATTAAAGTTATATAATCATAATATAAGTTACAACTTACAACAACAAAATCAATATCAAAACTAAAAAAAAATAAAATAACAAAAGATAATACCAAAATACACAAAATCATATATTTAAACTTAATGTGAATAACAAAATTCACATTTTACAATTATAACAATGATTTTTTAAATTTTATTTGTATATTAACCACATCATTTCTTTGGCAAGACAACAACCATTGATATCATTTTAATTATATATTATTAAATTATCTCGCCGATCTCTTTATATTTTTCTCTTAGTTATCTAAATAATCAAATATATAAAATAATAAATAAATTACGTAAATAAAATTAGATATATACAAAATTAGGTTTATAAACTATTTTAAATGCAAACTATATGTGATTTCCTTATAAATATTTCTTAGACATAGTTTCTTTTTTTATTTTTATTTTTATTTTTATTTTTATTTTTTTTAGACATAGTTTCTTATACATAGTTTAGTGTTTCACGATTTTAAGTTTCTTTTCTATGTGTTCCCTTATTTTAAAGTTTACTAGATCTTGACCCGCACATACGTGCGGGGTTTCATATTTTTTAAAAAATTTTAACAAATTTTAATTCAATATAAATTATTTCGTTGTTTCTATGATATATATGTTAGTGTATTATATCTGGATTCACACCTCCGTGCAAAGATATTTTTATAGAAATTGTTATATAGATTTTAAAAATATAAAATATTTGGTTGTGTTAGTAAACTTTATAATAGTATAAATATTATAAAATTAGAGTAATGAACGAAATTCAGTTGCGTTAGTGCATAGTTATATTTTAAGATCCTGACCTACACGTACGTGCGAAATTATATTTAAGATAAAACTAAGATATAATTTAGTTGCAAAAGTTAAATGATGTTACTTTATTCATTTTCTAAACTAATCAAAACATTTCTAATAGTTTGATTACATGTGTTAAATAGGATATAGATTCGGTTTGAGTTTGGTTATTTCATGTATATTAGCTAGGCGTAACTATTTTGGAACGGGAAACCTATCTCGTCTTTTATATGTCATAAATTCTTAGTCTCATAACCCGTATCGTATACGTGAAATAAAAATATGACGGTCCAGTATCTGGCATAAATAGAATATGTGTAACTGAAAACGTACGTACAGTATGTAAACAAATTTATTTTATATAGTGCTCATAACCCGAACTCATACCAGTTGGGTATTTAGTTTGATTTTTAATTTATGTTCCCCTCCTATCCCGTCTCGTAATTCCTATTCTCATTTCATTCCATTAAAATCATGTTCCAAATTCTTGTTTGCTTACTTTTAAATACCATACAATACATACTGTGAGTTTTGCAGATTAATATATATGCTGCTAAATTACAAATATATTTTAACAAATTTATTAATGTTTTTTCCTTAGCTAAATTTTGCATATTCTTCTTTTTATTGTTTAATCATAATTAATTTGATTTTTGGACTAAAAATAAAAATTTGAAATACATCTCTAAAAGAGAAATGCTATTGCTGCATAATTTGTTTTGAATTCAAAATATATAATTAGTTTACATTATTTGAAAACTGGGTGCAATATATTAGAGATTTATTTAAGGAAGATCCGATTGAAAAACAAAAAATAAAACGCAAAATAATTTAGAAATTAATATATACAATCTATTGTTTAGATATTTATCAAACTTGCTCTAAACGAAGGCTATAATGATAATTACTTTAAATTTATTATTATTTGAGTTTATTTCATAGTAAATATAAATAGTTGTTAATATCTAATATCATATTTTAGAAATTGTGAAATAAAATTTGGTTTATATTTTAAAATTTGTGAAAATATTATAACAAAATTGAATCTTAAAATATTTGTATTTAATTTTCTTATGAAATTTTAAATTCAATCTTAAAGTCCTCCATTGATAAATCTTTTATACGATAGTGTTTTTAATTTTGAATTAAAATGATATTATTTTTCTTTTTATTTTTGATATAGAATAGTCTATTACGATTGGTTTAGATAAAATCTTAGTTGGATATCAAATCTTAGTTCAATTCTCATTGGTTAACAATTTTTTAAAAATTAATTTTATATTTTCGTTTATAATTAATAGGAGAGAGAAAGTTAGTTTAATTTTTTGGAAATTAATAATTATTTAAAATAATTAAACTATTTTTAATTTAAATATATTAATTTTGTGATTACTATTGTACCCTTAATAAAGTTATTTAAAAACACTAAAAACTAATGGCAATCTTTGTAATATCTTACACTTTATAAGGTTATTTAAGTTAGAATGATTCCCAATTAATAGTATAGATACTCATTAAACCATATAAATTTGTAAGGCATTTCTTTATCTGCTTGACCTTTTTAAATTTTATTTTAATTTTACTTTATCTTTTATTGATTTCTAAAGTCTATGTTCACTTATCTCGTAATTATGAAAGTAGTAAAACATTTTGAGTAAAAAAAATTAACTATTTCTTTCCGGCAACTTATAGTATATATTATTAGAGAAGCTTATAAAGCCAAACTGGAAAAAAAACATTGTTTACATACGAAATAAGAAGGAAAACACGGACGTTCCATACTACCTCATCCACTCTAATATTGGCATTGCTAGAAACTAAGACTAAAGAAAATGATGAAAACGCTTTCTTAGTCTTATCTAGGTAACTACAATTATTTATACTAACAATTTTAGCAAAAATAAATAGTGAATGAATATGGTAAAAAAATTAAAAACATGTAATTTGATATTTATGTTTTGGTTAGTTTTTTTATTTCGTGAAATAAAAGAAAGTTAAATTTTCTGACAGGTATCGCAATCTAATTGGCAAATTGACATGTGTTGTGATCATGTTAATTATGACACCTCGGCCCTCTCCCATAGGACTGAGTAGGCATGTCAATCGGGCTAGCCCGGCCCGGCCCGGCCCGAAACCCGCAAAACCCGTACATATTTGAGCCCGGCCCGGCCCGGCCTGTAAAAATTCCGAGCCTATATTTGAAAGCCCGGCCCGGCTTTTTCTATAAGACACTATTCCATATTCATTTTTCTATCTCTAAACACATTCACATTCATCTTATAAAGAAAATATTCTTATTAAAGCCAAAAAGGTAACTCGTCTTAAGAAATATTTGAATCTCATTAAAATCAACTAAAGAACTTTAAGAGAAAGTCATGCTTTGCATTAACAAAATTAAAAATAAAATCCCAAAAAACACCATGAAAAATATGAGTTTTAGCAGCTACTCAATAACATCCTGATCTGAGGAAAAGAAATGGGAAAACGGGGTGAGTAATTATTTAGTGGGTAAAACATAGAACACTTTCTAAGGCTATACAACTATCATCATAACACACGACCTTAGGTACAAAAAATCAAACTAACATAGCTTTAATTTCTAAAGAACATATGCATGACAACCATTTTAATTTATCCATACTAACACATACATATATCGTTAGGTCCATTTATTCTCGTGATGACTAGAACCTTTGGAATGTGAATTTATGAGCCATAACTAACTTTGAGAAACTAAGTTCTATATAATAAAATATTATTTTAACTAAGATATAGATAAACACATTGGCTTATTGGTTTGATTCGGTTTAAAATTGAACTGAACAGTTCGGGTTTGA